CCATTATCCTCTCCAATAGCAATATTATTTGGATCATATGTTCTTTTAATTCTTTGATAATTTGATCTATTATTGTTATTAGTAGCTACAAAATTATTAAATGCATCATGTGTACTATTACTGTTGTCTCCAATTGCCCATAATGCTGGTGTTCTGATTGTTGCTGGCATAATAATATCCTCGGGTGGTGTTAAAACATATTCAACAGTCATTACTTCAGACATTGATCTACTATGGTTAATAAGGCCAGTACCACTACCACTACCACTACCATTAAATGAAGAGGTTGATGTAGAATATTCGTCTCTCGTTAAAAACTCACTCAACCATCTAAATAAATGGTTTAGTATTATACACGCAACTATTAATGAGGATGATAATAAATTTAAAAATGGAATTATTTCGTAATTTACTGAAAGATTTATATAAACCATCTATTTAAAATTAATTGAAATATTGATTAATAATTAATTGATTAATAATTAATTTATTGTGTAGCATTGGTATTTACCTGAATGATTAAATGAGGGGTGTCTTCAATAAAAAAATTGATTGCACTTATCCATTTAATCCATGATTCCATCCCGTTAGAAATAGGAGCATCAAATGCATCCAATTCACCCAATTTGCTATCAATCATTGATAAAGATTCTACATCTATTGCAGCAAGAAACGTGAATATTGCAGCAACATTATGATATTTTCTGTACCAACCATAAAATGGCTGATTATTGGATAGTTCTTTTATGATAATATAAAACACCATCAGCATATTAAAGACTAATGGTATTATAAATGTAAATAAACTATTATTTGGAGATGAAAGAAATAATATATAAATTTTTGCGTGTGATATGATTTATAATTTTATGTAAAGTGATTGTTTTTTACCTGAAATAAAACAAGAGAAATATATCCCTTGAATGAGTGGATACGAAAGCAATATCTATCACGAAATCCAAATTTATCAGTAATACTTTAAATGTTACAAAACTATTACCCTATATATAATAAAAACAAAAAATCAAGCAATAACATAAATAAATAATAAATAAATAAATGTAATTATTTAATAATTAAAAATTTAGTTTTGTTTCAACTTACATCTTCGTGTTTTCTATATGCAAACAAAGCCAAAATACCCAAGAATAATAATGTTCCGCCAATTGCAAGCAATTTTAACCCATATTTGTCCCATACACTACCTATTAGGTTATTATTGGTTACGTAAAATTAAGATTAATTAATTTAAATGCGTAAATTTAAATATAAATATATAAAGTATTAAATAAAAACTTTACGTTTTAATACAAATCCATAACTTGAATCTAACGATCCTGTATACTTAAATTGTGATATTGATGTAATATCCATATTCCTAATTAATGTGTCTAATATTTTTATTATCCCTATAACACTTTTATTATTATTATCGTCTGCAAACACATCGAACTTTAATAGCAATTGTTTTGGTATATCAGGGTCCCATTGATATCTATCGACTATACCAATTATTTCAGGTTCTACTGGAATAGATTTTGCCATTTCACCACGTAAATTATATAAAAAATTAGACTGTTCACTCTTTAATAAATTAGAATAATATGATGATCCATTCGGTGTTAGGCGCACCAATGCTGATTCTTTCTCTGTATAAAATAATTTTTAATTATTAATTAATTAGTAATTTTATAAAGTAATCATTTTAATAAATAAATAAATAACAAATATTTCATAATACTGATTATTAATTATTTACCTCCAGGAGATTCAAACGTGGAATCTAATCATATCATAATCATAATTAATATTAGAAAATTAAATAACAATGATAACAATGATGATGATGATATATAGGTCTTACTTGTACGAAATTTCCAAATATTTTCTTGAATACCCAATAAACTTTCTTCATATGCAATATCTTTAACAAAACCATTATCAATAACAACGTAATATCCAGTATTGGGAAAACCAAAACTACTATCCAACACTTTGAAAGATATTGTCTTATCATCGTCACTCAGTGTACAATATTGTGATTTTGCACTGAATGTTTGTCTTAATATATCTTTACTTATATTATATCTATTTTTTAAATTTGTTTGATAAATAGAAATGTTTCCATTTGATAAAATAATAGGATTATAATATGATATACTAAGGTTTGTACTTCCCACACTTATTGTGGAATCAACCAAAGGAATTGTAGTATTAATCATTAAATTATTCATACTATTGTGATTGTTGCCTTAATTGAGGAATTTAAAAAAAAAAGATTATTATTGTTGTTATTTAAATCTTTAATAATTTAGTTATTTAATCAATTTACCTTGAGAAGTTATATTCACTGTATTAAATGTCAGCAATGACCAATTATTATCATTTTTATTATCAGTAAATATCCAAGCTGTATTATTAGGAAACAACCCAAATGAAATTCTTTCACTATTTTTTAATTTAATTGGAAGCTCAAGTGTTTGATTGAAAATGCCATCATCATTATAAACAAACATATAATAATAAGTATCATCATTTGTACCACCTCCGATATTATTACTATCTTTATGGTAAGCACATATCAAATTTCCCCCATAATATAGTCTAAATATGTATTCAATGTCATATTCTTGCGTGTTATATGATAATTTAGTGACATTTTTTGTGCTTCCATTTGATAAAAAAAAAATTTTCAAATAATAAGTTAAGGCTGTGTCTGATTTATCTGTGATTATTTTGACTATACAATAAATACCAGGTTTAATTAATTCATCTACACATAACTCTATGCTTAATGAATAAATTGGTGCAACTGTTGAATATATTACCGAAGTTTCAGTTGGTATTGAACTTTCTGCTCTGATAAATCTTGTTGTTATTATGTATTGTGGATAAACCAATTCTGATGATGGTTGTTGTGTATTATTAAATTTTGTGACTGCATTCAATGTTGCAGGACCTGCTGAAACTATACCATAACCATTATCTGATGTATGAAATATCTTTAAGAAATGATTTGCTGTAACATTTAAATTAAATTGATTCTCAAGTTTAAACAAGTTCCCATCTAAATCTCTGAATATAAATACAATGAAACATTAATCTTCTTATTTATTTAAAAAAATGGTTATAATGATTATAAATAATAGTTACGGTGAAGAATATTTTGTCAATTGAAGCACATCATCTGCAATACGATTAACCCACAGAAATCCTAAATCGGGATTAGCATTTATTATACAATGTCCTACTGATAAAGTATCAGTATCTGAAAATTTAATCCTTGATAATGAATATTTGCTTAAATATAGAAAGTATTTGCAAAGAAATAAATTAATAATATTTTCTAATAAATTAAAAAAAGATAAACCTTCTCTAGCTTTCTCTTTTTTCTCTCAAAGTATATATATATGTATATAGTATGCTTACTTGAATAACTTTCCATTAAAATCATAAATAGATCCAACTTCCTCATAATCATTACTTGCTGCATTTTTATCATTTAACCACACTATAAACAGAAATTTATTAGTTAAAGGATAAACCCTAATCAAATCAAATTGGTGCTGTTGATCAAATAAAAAATCATTTGGTTTCTCTCCTAATTTTTTTCCATATAAACAAAAATTAAATCCTGGTATGTTTTCAATTGGAGGAACTTCTATTATATCATTTTGATTGTAAATAATGCGCAAGTAAATCATTGGTTCGAAGCATTGGACATTTTCAACTGATAATGGCTTGACTAGTCGCATTATTATTGTCCCATTAGGAAAATTTGTAGTTGAAAAGACACGCAATCCTTCAATTTTTTCATTATATTTAATAAATGTTTGGAAATTTGGTGATGTAGAAGTGGGAGATGTTGTCGGTGATGGTGAAGTTGGTGCAAGTGACGATGACGGTGATGAATCTGGTGTTGGTGTTGATGACGGCGATGAACCTGGTTCTGTTGTTGGTGGTGTTGGTGGTATATCTAAACTTGGTGATGATGATGGTGATGAATCTGGTGTTTGTGGTGATGACGGCGATGAACCTGGTTCTGTTGCTGGTGGTGTTGATGGTATATCTAAACTTGGTGTTTGTGGTGATGACGGCGATGAACCTGGTTTTGTTGCTGGTGGTGTTGGTGGTATATCTAAATTTGGTGAAGATGATGGTGGATAATTAGTCTCTATTGGTTTTGTTGTTGGTACAATTGTAGTTGATAATGGTGATGTACCATCAGTTTCTGTTAAAGTTGATAATTGAACTGTATTGGTTGACGTTGTAACTAATTTTGATATAGCAGTTCTAGATATGGATAATGATCTAACATTAGTGTGATGATGGTGATGATGATGACGATGACGACGACCATAAACTGATGCTAAAAAATTGGAATTTATTATTATTATTATTAAAAATATCAATATTCTTCCAATATATCATTAAAAAAAATTTATTTTATGATTAAGAGGACACTGGGTAATTATAAATGATTATCATCCCACTATGTTGTGGGACTTTACACAATACCTAACCACATGTTCATCAAAGTCAATGCCATCCAACAACATAAATAAAATATGTTTCTTTTAATGATTATAAATCTATCAACTAGAACTTGAGATAAGGCCGTGTAACAAGACAAAATTTTGGCCATTTTTACCTCCATAATACAATTTTTTTATTATAATAAAACAATCATACATGTTAGCCAAAATTAATTCTATTAGTAAATGATCATTGCCAAATTCAAAATACCAAAATAGTTTTTCATAATGGCTGAAATTAATTATGATAATTAATATAGAGAATATGGAAAAGCCAAAATATTTGGCAAATGCAAAAACAATTTTGGCTAACATGTATGGTGACAATATAAATATAATTAATAAAATTACAACTATTATTAATACATAGAATAAAAAATAAAAAATATTGATACAATAGAATATTTATAATTTGTTCATCATACTAATTATAAAATGTATAGACCCTAATTAATTATTAGAATACTATGTTGAATGTTCTGAGATACTATGTTGATCATTAACATCAACTTCATTGTTAGGATCATTCCCCATAAATATCTCTTCAATAACATCAATTGGTGATTTACTATCAATATTAAGAAGAAAATGATTTGTTGCAAGTGATGAAGTTATTGGCGTTGTGTGATTTGCTTGTGCATAATAAGCAGATCTCTGCATTGTTCCAAAGAATTTAATTGATCATTTAATTTCAATTATTAATTATTAATGATTTAAAAAACTATTTAAAGAACTTACCAGTGAAGATATTGATTTAGATTTTGTCATATAATGTGCTGTATTTAATCCAACTTCTATTAATATTTAATTGAATAATATATTATAAGCAATAAATAAAATTACTTGAATAAAATCATTTTCAAAATAAATAAGTTTTACTTGATCTTTCATCATCTTGTTGTTCATTATGACCTGATATCATTCCAGCAATACCATTAAATATTTGAGTTTTCTTTAATGGAGGTCTGAAATAAAATAAATTCTCTTAGGAAAAGAAAATAATGATAACAATAATGATAATAAATAATAAATAATAAGTACACTTTATATTGAAGTTCCCCAAAAGTTTTCTTCATATTAATTGATAACTAAAATAATAATAATAACAATATGAGTAAATTCTTTTTAAATAAATAAATAAATAAATAATTAAATTTTTAAAATATTTATTTACCTTTAATGTAGAATTAACCTTACTTTCACGTAATAAAAAGTGCCTAGTTATTATGGTGGACCCAACATATTCAGAAAGATTGATTTTTAATCTTCCAATATTACTAATTTCTTTGCCACCATTTAATTCCTAATTATTTAAAATCAGTCAGCAATAAAACCACCATAATTATAATTATAATCATAATTATAAATTTTTTCTCAAATCACCTGTTTTATTGATAGATGCAACTCACAAGGTAATAAAAAATTATCTTTACCTATAACAAGTTGTACTGAATCCTGTATTTTATGCTGCCAGCGCACTGAATGATCTTTAACGGGTGCCCTAAAATAATAATAGCAATAATGAAAAAATTATTATATTATCATCATTATCATCACCTATTATTATTATTACCTATTATTATTATTACCTATTAGTCTTACTATTTGCATTTACTCCTCTATGCTTGAATTTCCATTTTACATAATAAAGTCCTGTTATTAAAGGAACGTTTAAAAGTTCTTCTATTGTTATTTCAA